GCGTAGGACGTAGGTGCACGGACCAGTACCCCCACCCCGCTGGCGTGCAGTGTACCACTCACGGAGCTGCTGAGGGGAGGGGATGTCACGAGTGCGCTGCTGCTGCTGCTGCTGGTGCTGACCACCATCGGAGCCGACCCTCTGCGCAGCGCCACCCCGACCAGCTCCACCTCCTCCGCCACCGCATCCTCCACCGCCGCCACCTCCGCCACCACCTCCGCTCCCACCGCCACCGCCGCTGCCTCCGCCTCCACTGCCGCCACCGACACCTCCGCCCCCGCCACCACCCCCACCGCCGCCCCCACTCCCTCCGCCGCCTCCACCGCCGCCTCCACCGCCCCCGCTAGCTCCTCCAGCGCCCCTGCCCCCCTTGCCCTTGCCTGAGCGGCGTCTCCCGCTAGGGGTAGACACCGCACCAACCGACTCAAGCCCAACGAGGTCGGCCGCAGCAGCAGAGGCAACAGAGGGCAAAATGGGGGAGGGGGAACACCCCTCAAAGATGGGGGTGCGAGGGTCACCACGAGAGGCTCCTACAGCGACTATGCTCTTCTCCGCTGCTAGGAGGGCCTTCTCGAGGAGGTCAACGGTGAGAGTGGTGGGGCAAACTAAGAGGAAGTGGTCCTTGACTACGCGAAGGGAGTCAGGGAGGCGGGTGACTATGTAGTAGAGAGTGATGTACATGGGGGGGGGTTCTTGGCGCAGAACTCAGCAGGAAGCGCAGCGCGGTAGCGAGTTTCACTAGTGCGGAGGTGCGTAATGGGGTCAGCGACTGTGGGAAAGGCAGCAAGGTCAGGGAAGAGGTATGGTAGCATGAGGCGGCTCAGTGCAGCAGTGGCAGGGGAGGAGTAGCGTGCAACTACAGCGTCGTACAAGGTGTGAGCACTCTTGTACTGGCTAAAGTGCGCACGCTCAGAGGTAGGCAGGTGGCGACGCACAGCAAGACGTGCAGCAGCATCGCGTGTGGCCCACTGTGAGCGAACAGTGGCGTCAGCATCAGCAGCAGGGGCAGGGGAGGCACCAGAGGTGAGGTCAAAGAGGGAGAGACCGTCTGCCCTATCGCACTGTAGGAAAAGCTGCAGGTCATCTACCCAGACGTCAAAGTCAATGGCCCGACCCTCAGCGTCAAAAGCGAGGAGACTAGGGGTAGCCATGACAGCAGTAGACTAGTAGCGCGAACAGTGGGGTAAGGGCAGTGCAGTGACAGAGGCGCTACTCTTACCGGACAGGGCGGCTCGGGCGGCTCGGCGGCTCGGCAGCTCGGCAGGAACTGCAGCTCGGCGGCTCGGCAGGAACTGCAGCTTGGCGGCTCGGCTACTCTGCGGCTCGGGCGGCTCGGGCGGCTCGGGCGGCTCAGGCGACTCGGGCGGCTCGGGCGACTCGCCGGGACGGCGGCTCGGGCGGCTCGGGCGGCTCGGCGGGACGGCAGCTCGGGCGGCTCAGATGGCGCAGTGGCTCGGGTGGCGCTGGCGGCTCGGCAGTAGCTCGGCGGAGCCGCGTGAAGGCGGGGTCGGGGCCGGGAAGGGCGTGCGACGGGGCCAGCAGGGGCTGGGCCGGGGCCGGGAAGGGGCGGCGCCGGGGCCGTAGGGTAGGCGACGGGGCCAGTAGAGACTGGGCCGGGTCGGGAAGGGCGGCGTCGGGGCCGAGAAAGGGCGGCGCCTGAGCCGGGAAGGGCAGCGACGGGGCCGCAGGTAGGCGGCGGGGCCGCAGGTAGGCGACGGGGCCGCAGGTAGGCGGCGGGGCCGCAGGTAGGCGGCGGGGCCGCAGGTAGGCGACGGGGCCGCAGGTAGGCGACGGGGCCGCAGGTAGGCGGCGGGGCCGCAGGTAGGCGACGGGGCCGCAGGTAGGCGGCGAGGCCGCAGGTAGGCGGCGGAGCCGCAGATAGGCGACGGGGCCGCAGGTAGGCGACGGGGCCGCAGGTAGGCGTCGGGGCCACAGGTAAGCGACGGGGCCAGCAAGGGCGGGGCCAGGTCGGGAAGGGCGGCGCGAGGGCCGCGGGGTAGGCGACGGGGCCGAAAGGGCGGCGAATCGGGGCCGGGAAGGGCGGCGCGACACAGCCACTAGGGCGGCGCGACACAGTGAGAAAGGGGGGAGCGCGACACGGGCAAGGGCTGAGCGCGTTCCGGGCAGGAAAAAAAATCGAATCGGTGGGCACTAGGAACAGTTCCCACGAGGGAACCTGCTCGATACCATGAGAAAACTGAAACGAGAATGAATGCACTATGAAAGAGTTGGGTACAAGTACTAACCCTAATTGGGTTGTACCCTATATGGGCTACCCCACTACAGCCTACACAAAAGCATAAGCTATAATGTTCTGACATAGTGGACGCCGTGATCTACGTGGAACAGCCACACACTTACGGCGACGGAGACCCACGCGTCTGTTAGCTACGCAAGTCCCTCTATGGGATCAAACAGCCACCGAGACTATGGCAGCAGTATCTGCACAACATACCGCTTGAAATCGGGTTCAAGCAGTTGCCTCACGATCCTGGAATGTATCGCCGCGATTTCCGCGTTGAATACATCCTCCTCACGATCTACGTCGACGACCTTCTCTACACAGGCTCAAGCAACGAACTACTCGAGCAGTTTGAGAGAAGCCTCGCAGGGCGCGTCGACATCACCTGCAATCATGACATGAAGCAGTTTCTCGGACTCAACATCACCTACTCGCCGGAAGCCATTCATCTCTCAGCAGCGAAGTATGCGGAGGAGCTTAGCAAGCGCTTCAACATTGCGCCTGCACCACTCTCCACCCCTTACCGCACTCCAGGACCCAACCACAAGCCTGACAGCAAAGCCCTGTCCCCTGCTGGGCTTCACACTTACCAGCAGCAGTTGGGATGCCTGCTTTTCGCATCTGTTACCTGCAGGCCCGACCTCTCCTACATTGCGAGCCAGTTGGCTCAGTACTCACGCAAACCAACGGCTGAGAATCTCTCAGACCTTCAGCGAGCCCTTCAATTCTTCATCTCCACGCCCAATGTCGGGCTCGGTTATTCCACCATCCCAACCACATCCTTCAGTCTCGTCGGCTACGTGGATGCCGATCACGCCGCTGACCCTGACAATCGACGGTCCAAGACAGGGTCCCTCTTCCGCCTCGAGCCCAGCGGCCCCATCTCCTGGAACTCTCAGAAGCAGGAGTTGGTTGCCCTGTCATCGGCGGAAGCTGAATTTATCGCAGCAACAGCAGCTGTTCGCGAAGGTCTCTACCTTCAGGAACTGCTGCAGGAAGCGAAAATTCCGGCCTCAACGAACTTTCGCCTGCACTGCGACAACCAAAGCGCGATTCGCATCGCGAACAAACCTGGTTTCGTCAACCGCACCAAGCACATTGCGCTGCGGTACTTCTTCGTGAAGGATGAGGTGGACAAGGGCAAGGTCAACTTGACCTACTGCCCGACCGGTGACATGGCAGCAGACTTCCTCACGAAGCGACTGCCACGCCAGCAGTATCAGCACTGCTCCGAACTCAGCGGCGTGGTCAAGCAGGTCAAGTCTAGCTGCGGCCAGGAGTGAAGGGGGGTGTTACGAATAGTAATACTTGAATATTACTGTGCACTCCTCACCGCAGCAAAGAGAAGCACGCAGTATCGTGAATGAACGCGAAGCGTCAGACGGTTGGAAACGACCCGAAGCGTCAGACTGTTGGGACGCATCTGAACCGTCGGAGCAGGCAGCATCAGGCAGCTGCAGGCGGGATGGTTTCGGCGGGAACAGTTTCGTAACTGTTCGCGCCGCACGGTTGGGAATGTATTTGAATAAGGGAATGTACCCCTCAGAGTACATGGCTAGCTAGGTCGATTCATATTCTCCTGTACTCTTATTTTATCGTTGTATTTGCATGTCTTAATCATCTCAAGCATTTACATTCACTCTGCTATTGAGGTCAAGGGCCCACCAACATCACTCCTCTGCGTGCGAACCTTCCTGAGTAGATCCTAGGCCACGATCAACTTCTGATCTCAGCAGAAGGATCGCATGCCAACTGAGGATAGCTGGGTGCCCCTAGCCAACATTGAAAACCACCCTGCCCTGCAAATGTACCTGAGGAGCCGGGGTTTCTACGATATACACGCACTCGCGTAGCGGAGGGGGTTTCTTGAGGGTGGGGGTAGTGTAAGGAATTTTCTCGATAATCCAAAGCGCATCCGGCAACATCACATACAGCAGCAACCGTTGTTCGCCCGCCCGTTACAGCTAACGGGGCTTCGCCGACTTCGCACGCACTGTTTCACCAAACCTCGCACTGCTGGCCCGGCCGCGTCGGCCTACGCTTTGGGACTGGCCCACACCTCACTGTCAGCGTAGCACTAGCTAGCTCGCACGCACCAGGTTACCGTTTTGCATGTTTCGCGTATACGGTAAATGTTCGCTCATGCCTTCGCTCACATTTTGTACTCGTTTTGACACCTAGTGCAATCCTCGCTATCCGTAACACAAAGACCAACCCAGCACTCTACTCAATAAGTAGTGAAGGGCTGTTGAAAAAAACAAAAAAAACACATATTTAAACACATACCGTATTTATTTTACGGCATTACAAACCTTTAGTAGCAGTTTTTCCATACAATTGCGCTTTTTGATGGGCAAGGACCTGCATTGGATACCGTACTACCACAACAATACAGATCATGATACATTAAGCATCTTCAGCCAACAAATCCTCACCAATCACCGTGTACGACACATCAGCACCAAACGGGGGCTCAGGGGGCGATTTATGCTTCGATGCTCCCAGCACACCCAAGAGTCAGCAGGCAGAGACGCTGCCACCTCCACAACAGCGTCATACTCCTCCCTTGGGCAAATTTAAAGGCATTCCGAAGCAGGGAAGGGGGGGAGCATGGCTCAACGACAGTGTTGAAGAAGCTGCACATTTCATCGGTACCAGAGGATGTGCATAACATGTAAATTGAGTCCACATCGTTTTGAAGCATAATCACCTCACTAGCACCCTTGTTAGATCTATAGCCCCTCCGCACCCTGCGCTCTCACCTGCCCCCTGCGTGGCCCACATAGGCCATGACACTGACCACGCCGCCCACAGCTGTGGCTGCCACGGCTGCCTGCAGCGCTGCCACCGTGCTGGGCGGCTGCGTCGTGATGCCCTCAGGGGCGGCGGCAGGAGAGGGAGCGGTGGTGGGAGGAGCGTGGTGGGCCCGAGGCAGGTAGCCAAGGTTGAACGCCACCAGACTGGTTGGGTCCAGGTGAGGGGTGGAACGGGGTGCGAGGGAGAGGGGGGAAAGTGTGCAAGGTTGTTGGGGAGTAGTGGGCATGGAGTGTGAAATGGAAGGTGTTGAGGAAGGTGAATGGAAGAATGGAAGACCCGAGGAGGGTGATTGAACAAATGGAAGAATGGCTTGCGGGTGACTCATCATTGATCGCATCGCATGTGGCATGGTGTGTGGTTGAATGGGGTGTGGAACAAGATTCGGCATGCCACGTGAGCAAGTGTGGCCTTGAAGGGTACCGTGCAGAGCCAGGGGCGACATGTTGGAGCAGTGTGGAGTGGCAGGCGCACACCGTGTGCACGTGAGCCATCTGCCACATGGGAGAGAGGGAGGTTGGGGGGAGGGGGAAGGGAAGAGGTATTGAAGAAGAATTTTGGTAGCAGCAATGGCACAAACGCTTATGCGTGAACACATGCACACATGCAGCCGGTCACATAGGCACACACATGCAATGCACATAGATGAGATGCTGCTGTGTGCCTCTCACCTGCACCTCTGACAGGCCAGCTGCCAGCAGGCGATGGGTTCTGCTGACTGCCTCCTCCTGTATGTCCATCGCCACCACTCGCCCCCTCACCTCCTCCCCTGCGCTCCCTGCATCGCCTGCATGGCACAACCCAACCCATGCCCCCACACATTCAACATCCACACGCAGCCATGGAGGGGCACACAGGGGTTTGACGTCTCGCAGGGCAGCGCAGGGCGGGCATTGCTTGCGAGCAGAGAGGCGAGGTCTCACCATCGCTGGGTGGCGCGGGGGCGAGGGCGAGGGCAGCCATGGCCATGGTGTCGTGCCCGTTGCCGCACGTCGCGTCCACCACCGTGTCGCCGCGCCGCACCACGCCTCTCCACAGCCTGACCCGCTCGCAAAAAAGGACGGCAGGCAGAAGGAGGGCGGATAGAATGAGGGCGGGCGGAGGATGAATGGCGGAACACGGAAGCATGGGGGTTGGGGGAGGGGGAGGGGGAGGGGGAGGGGGAGGGGGGGGAGAAGGGGGAAGGGGCGCGCCTACTGGTGAGCGACGGCGGTGAGTTTGCGGCCGCGGAGCAGCGACTCAGCCAGGTCGGGCTCTCTGGGCTCCGCTCGCGACGAGGCCCTTGGTGCCGCCATTTCCTGCGCCGCTTGGCATGAGAACGAACGTCGTCGTTGCGATACGCTAGACGTCGTGAATATTGATGTCGCCGTCTCAATTCTCGTTGACAGCTCGCTAGAATTGGGCCGCCTCAGCCTGTCGCCGCACACCTTTCCTGAGGGCGTGTTTAGATGAAGCACGTCCTTCGTGAAATTCCATGAAATCCCTATCCTACGAGACCTATTTGCACCTAGAGGGGTTCTTAATGAAGAAAGCATGGTGGGTGGGCGTGCCGCAAGTGGCGCTGATGGATTCATGTCGGGGAAATGGGGCTCATGTGAGCGAATACCAAGATTTAGGGGAGTGCTGATTCAACATTGGGTGAGCCGAAATTTCTACATTGTGGTTGTGGTGTGGAGTTCATTTTGTAGTGCTTTTGTTAGTTGCGCTGTTTTCTCAAACAAATCAAGCATATCTCATGCAGTGGACGGCCTCGATCATTCCGGAGTATCCTTCGATGTTGTCACTGGCGCGGTTCTGACGACAATCCCCAACATGCTGCAAGAATTCCACCCCACAGCCGCCTGACACATTTCTGACGACGACAGAACCGCGCAAAACCGAGAAGGATTTTGGTGCCCCTTGACTGAATGTCGCTGGCATGCGTTGTGTGGGTGGGATGAGTGGAGAATCCAAGGCCGCCTGAATTCGGCTGAACATCGAATTTCAGGACCAAATCTCCCTGACTCAGTGTCCTTACTTAATCTCCATCTCCGCATCTTTCTCCTCAGCATCTCTCGCATTCGCTGCCTTTATCCGCTTTCTAAGCCGCATCTCGTTGTCGCCGGGTGCATCGTCCTCCTAGCGTACGTCGCAGCCATGGCCACCACCACTGCGCCGTCGGTGCAGCAAACGATCGACCGTCTGAGACTGGAGACGGCGACGCTTGATGAGATTAGGTCAGTCCGTGGACTGCACGTGGAGCGGTTTGATCTCTCTGGCCACCGATTAGCAAATCATATTTTTGCTCGTGCACCAGGCTATCAGCTTACTGATTTACCATCTTCTTGTCCAATCGCAGCGCCCAAGAACGGAGCGGCTTCCTGTCCCTTTTCGAGCGTTACTTGCAGTAAGTATTAGAACCGATGGGCTAGTAATCACTGAGCTATCTCGTCGGCTTCAGGGAGGCTTGTTTCTCCGCATCTGACGCGTGGCATGGGGTTGGTGCAGGGAGAAGGCGAATGTGATCCAGTGGGACAAGATCAAGTCGCCCACTGACCAGGAGGTCGTGCCGTACGATGACCTTCCTGAAGTTCCCCAAGGTAACCGCTTCGAGCGCTCTCTCTTAGCGAGCACTCAGGCCAGTCTTCGTGCGTTCCTGGTTTCTGATTCTCCAGTTGAAAGCCTGTGTGGTGACACGATGTGACGGCTGTTTCTGCTGCTGGTGCGGGTGGTGCGGGTGGCAGATCCAGCGGTGGTGAAGGAGCTGCTGAGCAAGCTGGCGGTGATGAAGCTCAACGGCGGGCTGGGCACCACCATGGGCTGCACGGGACCCAAGTCAGTCACGCTCACCCCTTCACCCTCTCAACCTTCGCGCCTGTCGCTTCCTGCTCCTCCTTTATGTCTACCTACCGTGCTCGGTGCTAACGGTTCTCTTTTCGGGATTTCAGGTCTGTGATTGAGGTTCGGAACGGTCAGACATTCCTGGACTTAATCTTGAAACAAATCGAGGTACGTCTGTCCCTCGGAAGGCCAATCCAAGCCTGTCACCCCAGTTGCGATCGCGCGTGGACCTGTCGCTGACTGTGCTTTCGTTCTCCTGGCAGACGTTGAACGGCAAGTACGGGTCGAGCGTGCCGCTGGTGCTAATGGACTCGTTCAACACGCACGACGACACTCTCAAGGTGCGCTCCTTCGCCTTCCGTGCCGCTCGTTCCGCTCCTACTCGCTTCTTATAGATTCATGACGCTTTGTGGACTCGTGTGTCGGCCTTTCTGACGGCGAACCGTGTGCGTGGCGGCAGATTCTCGAGAAGTACACGGATTCGGCGGTGAAGATCAAATACTTCAACCAGGTCACACCTCCTCTCTGGCGTCTCCGCAAATATGGCTTTCTCCGCTTACCTCCTGTCTCTCGTCCCCTGTCACTGCAACCGTGTGTCTACCTGCGCAAATTTCCGCCATCATTCCCTTTTCGTCCATTCGAACGTTCTCATCGAGTTGCGCGTCTGCTGTGGCGCTCACGCGCGTCGCCCTTGTCATTCTACGTCATGCTGTCTGCACTCACCACTCGCCCTCCCTCGTGCACGCCCGCGTGTGCTGTTTGCGTGTGCTGTGTGCGTGTGTATGCGTGTATGAGAGCAGAGCCAGTACCCGCGGGTGGTGGCGGACGACAACACGCCGTGGCCTGCCAAGGGCCGCAAGGACAAGGCCGCTTGGTCAGTCCGCCCGTACCTCTGCCTCCCGTCTTCCCTCCCCCCTACCCCCGACCCTTATCCTCCCCACCCCCTCCCCCCTCTCCGCTTTCCTGCCTCCTTTCCGTTACAGTCCCCCTCCTCGGTTTTTCGCCTCATTCGTTCCTAGCTTTGGTCGAGCCGTCCTTTTCTGTAGATTTGTTGGATCACAGGCGTTCCCTGCTTCGGTGCGTGTGTGTGTCGGTCCCTGCGCGCGGCACTGCAGGTACCCTCCCGGGCACGGCGACGTGTTCCCCGCGCTCTGCAACAGCGGCGTGCTGGACCAGCTGCTCGCCGAGGTACGCCCCTCCGCCAGAATACTAGCGGAATGGCGTGGCGGAATGGCGGAGAGATGTAGACGCGTGGCGGAGAGAATGTTGACGCGTGACGGAGTCTGGAAAAGGGCAAAGAGAGTATTATCGCGTAGGCGCCGAGGGTACTAGTGCAGAGGATAGGGGAACACCAAGTGCACGCATGTACGAGCATGGCATGGATAGCGGATGGGTGTGCATGCACTGAGTATGTGTGTGTGTGGCGTGCGTGCATGGCAGGGCATCGAGTACGTGTTCCTGGCGAACGCGGACAACCTTGGCGCCACAGTGGATCTGCGCATTCTCAACTTCATTGTACAAAACAACAACGAGTACTGCCTCGAAGTGAGTGCCACTCAATAGCGAGTATGCGTTGCAAGTGCTGCCACTATGGAATTATATAAATTATCTATGCATCCTGTTGCATCTCTGTGCCTCTCTTTTGTTCGCATCCCGACCCACTCCCTTCCCTTCCACTCCCATCCCATCCCACTCCCTTCTCTTCCCACTCCCATCCATTCCCTCTCCCATTCCTCATTCCCATCCCTTCCTCCCTGCCCCCTGCCCGCCCACCCGCCCACCCCAATTGCGTGTCTATGTGGGTGCGGGGCAGGTGACGCCAAAGACGTTGGCGGATGTGAAGGGCGGCACCATCATCAACTACGACGGCAAGCTGCAGGTGCCCACCCGCTCCAACCCCTCGCTGCACCACCCCCTCGCTGCACCACCTCCTCGCTGCACCACCCCCTCACTGCACCACCCCCTCGCTGCACCACCCCCTTGCTGCACTGTGCTCTACTCTCCTCTTGGCTGCTCTCCATTCCTCCACTACGCTCTCCTCTTTCACTGCCTTACCCATCTTCTGAATTTCCATCAACATGCTTCATGCAGCCGTGTCTTCTCGTTATGTCTTTGATGCCTTATCTCCCCTATCCTCTCTGCTCCGTCGCGCTTCCCGTGCAGCTATTGGAAATCGCCCAAGTGGCGCCTGAGCATGTGAGTGACAGCAGAGTGTGGGTGACAGCAGAGTGTCAGCGGAAGCAGAGTGGAAGTGCCAGCAGAGTGTGAGTGACACCAGAGAGTGTGAGTGACAGCGGAGTGTGTGGGAGCTGTCACCATCAAGTGTTTTGAGCGTGTATTGCTGCTGCCACGCAAGGCTCTCGTCCACGGGCGCAGGGCTTGGGGCTGCATGATCAGCACCTCTTTTCCTCTCCATACCTGCTGCTGCTGCTGCTATGGGGTGCTGTGGGGTGTTGTGGGGTGGTGTTGGGTGGTGTGCGGTGGTGCAGGTATCGGAGTTTAAGTCCATTGAGAAGTTCAAGATCTTCAACACCAATAACATGTGCGTCGCCATGCCATGCCATGCCGTGCCGTGCCGTGCCATGCCATGCCATGCTATGCCATGTCATGCCATCCCATGCCATGCCATGCCTAGCCATGCCGTGCCATGCCGTGCCATGCCATGCCATGCCGTGCCATGCCATGCCATGTCATGCCATCCCATGCCATGCCATGCCATGCCATGTCATGCCATCCCATGCCATCCCATGCCATGCCATGCCATGCCATGCCGTGCCACCATGCCATGCCATGCCATGCCATGCCGTGCCACCATGCCATGCCATGCCATGCCATGCCATGCCACGCCATGCCATTCCGTGCCACCATGCCATGCCATGCCGTGCCACCATGCCATGCCATGCCGTGCCACCATGCCATGCCATGCCGTGCCACCATGCCATGCCATGCCGTGCCACCATGCCATGCCATGCCGTGCCACCATGCCATGCCATGCCGTGCCATGTCATGCCACCATTGAACACTCCAACATCACACCACCTTCGCTGCAAGTAGACTGTGCCAGCATGCAACCAACCAAGCAACTGTGTGTGTGCTTGGGTGCGTGCGAGCAGATGGCTCAACCTGGCGGCCATCAAGAGGCTGGTGGAGTCAGACGCCCTCAAGCTCGACATCATCCCCAACCCCAAGGTGCAAACCCCTGCTCCCTCTCCCCCTATCCATCCCACGTCCCTGCCCCTCTCCCCCTATCCTTCCCACGTCCCTGCCCCTCTCCCCCTATCCTTCCCACGTCCCTGCCCCTCTCCCCCTATCCTTCCCACGTCCCTGCTCCCTCTCCCCCTATCCTTCCCACGTCCCTGCCCCTCTCCCCCGCCTCACTTCCATTCCCCCATCTGTCGCTCTCCATCCTCTCCCATCCCGTCTTCGCCATTGCTCTCCTGCCATTCCTACCACTCCCGGATAACATCTCCGTCACGCCTGTGCGTGCGTGCCTGCACTCTTTCCATGTGCATGTGTGCATGCTGCATGCGTCCATGCTCCATGTGTGCATGTGTCTTTCCATGTGGGAGCAGGAGGTGGACGGGGTGAAGGTGCTGCAGCTCGAGACGGCTGCCGGTGCCGCCATGAAGGTCAGCTCTGCTCCATTCTCGCCATGCCTCCCTGCATTGCCATCGCTCAGTCTCTCTTCTTCCACCCGTCTCCATCATCCCTGTTCCCTCGCCTATCCATGCCTCACTACCTCACTCTTCTTCCACCACCCCTTCCATCCCCTCCGCCCCCCATTCGTTCCCCCTCTCCCTCCCCCCACCTGTGCAGTTCTTTGATCGTGCCATTGGGGTGAATGTGCCTCGCTCGCGCTTCTTGCCCGTCAAGGCCACCTCCGACCTCCTGCTCGTCCAGGTGCCTCCATGCTTCTTCTCCGCCTCCTTCCCTCTCACTCCCATTGTCATTCCAAGAGTTGCCGTGCTGGCGCCCACCCACCAACCACCCCTTCACCACTGCCCCCCTCTGCCCCACACCATGTGCCTGCAATGCACTTTTCCGCCCTCCCTTTCGTGCCTCTTCTCACCACATATTCCAGTCCACACTAGTCCCGTCTCACCCCTGGTTTCCACCTCTCAACCTGTAACTGTACTCCTTTCCATGACTCGCCTCCTCTCCCCTCCCCCCGTCGTGTGCCGGCAGTCGGATCTGTACACGGTGGAGGACGGGCTCGTCACGCGCAACCCGGCCAGAACCGCTGCCGCCAACCCCACCATTGACCTCGGACCCGAGTTCAAGAAGGTGCGTGTGCCATGCCCCTTCATGTGCGTCACTGGCACAGGTGTGCTGCGAGTGACTTCAGAATTTCCGTGTGCTGCGTGCATGCCATGTTCCATCTGTATTTCTATGCTGCTACGTGAGCCTCACATCGGCCATGGGTTGCCCACTGCTGTTGCATGCTGCTCTGGCGAGCAGGTGGCGGATTTCCAAAAGAGGTTCAAGGCCATCCCCAGCATCATAGAGCTGGACAGCCTCAAGGTGTCGGGCGACGTGAGCTTCGGGGAGAACGTCACTCTCAAGGTCCGTGCCTCCCACCCGCCCTCGCTCACCCCTGCTCTCTCCATTACCTCTGTGAAATTGGTGCCCTGTCTCCACTTCCCTCCACTCCGCCACCTCCTCTCATCCATCCTGTTCTGCTATGCACTGTGTGTCCATCCTCGTGTGCGGTGCATGCAGGGCAAGGTGGCGATAGAGGCGCCCAAAGATGACAAGATTGTGGTGGCTGATGGCACTGTGCTGGAGGGATAGGCGTGCAGGGAAGCTGCCTTTTACACAAGCTGACATGGAGCTAGCAGCAGGGTGTCCTGCATCCATGTCAGCATTATACGAGATGCAGGCGCAATCTTTGACATATGTTGTCTTAGCCAGTTGAGGATCACTTGTGGAGTCATATTTTTGAAACGATAATGGAGCTTGTTGGTGCTGGATGAAATAAGCCAGGGATAGTAAGAGCAGAGCTAACCGGCTATATGGATGCTGTGTAGCCCTTCTGGCATGAGACAATGCTGCAGGCTTTCTGGAGAACCAGCTAAGTATCACTCGTTAAAAAGGGCTGACTAATCAGCCCTGTGTGGGGCATGAGCAATGCATTGTATGGCCGCTCCGTGCTTGCAGGGAGGTAGAGGATCACGAGGAGGGCAACAGCTTGTAGGGGTTGAGGATGCCGTTGGGGTCAAAGAGAGCCTTCACCCTCTTCATCACCGCCACCTGCATGCCATGCACACGACACACACGGTGGGTTAATGCGAGAGGCTCCGATGTATAGCCCAGGCAGGGAGGTGTTGAGAAGAGAGAGCCTTAAAAAGGAGATGAGCTGGAGGAAGCAGCAACAGAGAGAAGATGAGCTGAGTACCAGGTGTGCCCCGACAATTGCATGTGCACGCTGCATGGCTGCCTGATTGCGCTGCCGCGTGGCATGCCACCAGCATACTATGCGAGCACTCAAGAGGCAGAGCTAGGGAGAGCTGGGCAGAGAGGCAGCAGCGCACCGCCTGGGGGTCTTTGCTGTAGTGGATGGCGTTGGCCTTCATGAGCCCCAGCCCATGCTCCGCACTCACACTGCCCTGCCGCCCCGCCACCCACTCGTACACGAATGGCTCTATCCGCTCCAACAACTGCATGCACAAATGTACATAAGAGGATAAGAGGATCAAACCCATGGGATATGGCCGCGCTCTTGGGAGCGCAAAGTGGCATTGCTGGGGTGCCATTCTCAGCACTCGAGTTGCTGTTCCATTTACATCACATACCCGGGCGGGACAGTGGAGAATAATGGAGGAATGGCAGCAAGAGCAGAGAGGAGCACTCACTTTGTCGTCATACGTGGGAGCGGAGATGTTGAGGTGCAGATTGCCATCGCCCAAGTGCCCGTACCCCACCACCTGCGCTGCACTGCCCTCTGCTCCGCCCCAAGGCGGACAGGCACAGGGGAAGGAAGACAGGAGAGAGAGGGACCATGAAAATCAGAGAGGCAGAAACGTGCAGGAAGAGCGACAAGGTGACAAGTTGACTCGGAGAAGAACCTACCACCAGGCTATCCCCCTCACCTAGGCGGGAGCGCATCTCGTCCACGAGGCCGTACAGCTGTGAGACGGGTACCGACAGGTCGTACTTGTACACCGCCCCTGCACGCTGTAGCGCCTCCGCCACTCCCTGATGGAGGGGAAGGAGGGCAGCAGGAGAAAAATGGGGGAGGAGACGGGGAGAACATGGTTGCGGTGTAGAGCTGTGAGACGGGTACCGACAGGTCGTACTTGTACACCGCTCATGCTCGCTGCAGCGCCTCCGCCACTCCGTGATTGTGGCCCACACAGGAGGAGGGGAGGAGGAAAGGGATGGGGGTGGTGAGGCAATAGAGCTGTGGCAAGACAGGTCGTACTTGTAGAGAACAATGAGAAACGGGTTGGCAAGGGAAGTGAGACAGCGTCACATGTTGGAAGGAAGGAATGAAATAGCAACGTTTTAAAGTCGCCTACCACCACCTCTCTGTCCCTGCCATTTCACCCGCACCTCCCCAAGGTGACAGCACCACTCACGCATTCACAGTCGCCAGGCATCTTATGCGCGCCTCACTCAGGGCCAGCCATCTCACGGCACTGCACCTTGCGCAGGAGCCACCTCAGCACATCTCACCTCGCGCAGGTGCCAGAGCACAGCGGCCTGGGTGGAGTCATGAGCCACAGTGGAGTCATGAGCCACAGTGGAGTCATGAGCCACAGTGGAGTCATGAGCCACAGTGGAGTCATGAGCCACAGTGGAGTCATGAGCCACAGTGGAGTCATGAGCCACAGTGGAGTCATGAGCCACAGTGCCGTCCTTCACCAGATCTCACCTCGCGCAGGTGCCAGATGGCAGCAGCCTGCGTGGAGTCATGAGCCACCGTGCCGTCCTCCACGGCTCCGGCCTCCATCACGCCCTCCAGAAACGCGTCTAGCTTCGTCCTGCTCCGCCGCCCACAGGGATGTTGGGTGGAGGTAGATGGCAAGTGGAAAAGCGTGTTGGGTGGAGGTAGATGGCCAGTGGAAAAGCGTGGCTTGAAGAGACGCTCGTGCTGTGAGTAAGGCAAACATCTGTTTAGACAAGGATAATTTCTAATCGAATGTTGTATGAATGTCTCACCCACCGGTCGTGGTCAGGGTTGCTGCCGGACGTCTCAATGAGCACGTAGAAGGGATACTCCCCATCCGGTAGCGGGTCCCTCGTGCCCTCGTTGTGCTTCAGCACCTGCTCACACCGACAGGTAGGAGGACAGTGGAGCACGGCGTGGCAGGTGAGGCGATGTGAGCACATCAGAACGTTGTGTTGTGCTCGTATCATGATGCCATTTCCAAGCTACCATTTGAAGGGGCGTTACCATTTGAAGGGGCGTTACCAATTGAAGGTGCGTTACCATTTGAAGGTGCGTTACCATTTGAAGGTGCGTTACCATTTGAAGGGGCGTTACCATTTGAAGGTGCGTTACCATTTGAAGGTGCGTTACCATTTGAAGGTGCGTTACCATTTGAAGGGGCGTTACCATTTGAAGGTGCGTTACCATTTGAAGGTGCGTTACCATTTGAAGGTGCGTTACCATTTGAAGGTGCGTTACCATTTGAAGGTGCGTTACCATTTGAAGGGGCGTTACCATTTGAAGGGGCGTTACCATTTGAAGGTGCGTTACCATTTGAAGGTGCGTTACCATTTGAAGGTGCATTACCATTTGAAGGTGCGTTACCATTTGAAGGTGCGTTACCATTTGAAGGTGCGTTACCATTTGAAGGGGCGTTACCATTTGAAGGTGCGTTACCATTTGAAGGTGCGTTACCATTTGAAGGGGCGTTACCATTTGAAGGTGCGTTACCATTTGAAGGTGCGTTACCATTTGAAGGTGCGTTACCATTTGAAGGGAGCTGCGGTCGAAGAACTCCGCAGCAGATAACACCTCCCCCAGGTGGCGCCTGCTGGCACAAAACACCTGCTGCACAGCATCGAAGGAGGAGCACCCCAGCAGCGCCACGTGCACTGAGGGCGAGCGTGGGGGTGCCAGCAGCACCACCCTCGTCACCACGCCCAGCGTGCCCTCCGCTCCTGGTGGCCGGGACGGTTGGAAGGGGCGGGGGGAGAAGCAGAGAGGTGGGGTTGAGAACGTGTTGTGTGCACTGTGCTCCATCACAACCAGATCACACCGTCACCATGCCATGCGATTACATATGACCACATGCCACATGACATGACACGACATGGCCTCATACGCCACCACAGTGATGATCCCATCCCCAGCTGTACCGATGAAGAGCTGCTTGAGGTCGTAGCCGGTGTTGTCCTTCCTGAGCGCCCTCGTCATGTCCACCACCGTGCCATCCGCCATCACCACCTCCAGCCCTGCTCGTGCCCCGTGCACCCATGGGCCACGGGAGGGGCCGCGGGGGAGAGGAGAGGCACATGGGAAGAGGAGGGGCAGGGGAAGCAGGGTTGATCGGGAAATGGATGGGACTGAATGGTCCTGATGCACTCAAAGTTCTCCGTGCAGAATGATTGGGCTCTACGCTCCACATTCTGCAGAGTACGAGTCAGTAGGTAGGCTCACCGAGCACGGAGCCGCGCACAGGCGTGAGGAATGTGCGCAGTGAAGTGAGCAATTAACTGAGCAATCAACTGAGCAGTGAATTAAGCAGTGGAGGCCCACGCACCGAGCACGGAGCCATGCAGGGAGCCGTATCGCAGCAGGCGGATGCCGCCCGCGTTGGTGGAGACATTGCCGCCTATCTGACAGCTGCCCTTGGCGCCCAGATCCAACGGCATCACGAACCTTGCAGGGCAGAGGGGCAGTCAGAGAGGGCTGGACCAATGTTTAGATGACTGGAAAACAGTTGGCCCCGATGTGGCAGCTGCCCTTGGCGCTCAGATCCAACGGCATCACGAACCTTGCGGGGTGGAGGGGCGTTGTGAGGTGTGCATGCGAGTGTGTGCACACTCATACTTGACTCACCCCTTGTCAGCCAGGAAGGTGTCGAGGGACTCGAGGATGCACCCCGCCTCGCAGTCCAGGATGCCGCTCACCTGGTGCCCACCCGCCCACATGGCATGCACGCACAGCGGCCCGAAAGTGGGGGATGGGAGAGGGAGAGGGAGCAGGGGTTGTGACGGAAGCAAGGAGATGAAACATGGACTGATGTCTGTGATGGTTGTAATGGGAAGGGGTTCAGCTGTTGTTTGATAAGCAAGGGATGTTTCATAGTGGCATGTGAGAGCCATGTGCCATGCTGCAGCACGGATGTGATTGGTAGGTGGGATGGTTAGTGGAGGGGCATGAGGAGAGTAGGAGGTGGGCGTACCTCATCAAATGAGATAATCTTGTTCATTCCTGCAAGGCTCAAGATAATCTGTCATGCCATGCCACGCCATGCCATGCCGTACCATGCCATGCCAAGCCGTGCCATGCCATGCCGTACCATGCCATGCCAAGCCGTGCCATGCCATGCCAGCCATGTCATGCCATGCCAAGCCGTGCCATGCCATGCCAGCCATGTCATGCCATGCCGTGCCATGCCATGCCAGCCATGTCATGCCATGCCATGCCGTGCCATGCCATGCCGTTGAGAGACATTGATTGACATTGACATTGATTGGAATTGACACTGATTGACATTCACAGTAACTGAGATTGACATTGATGGCAGTGATTGGTTGACATTGCAGACTGACTCTTACTCACACCGATGGATGAACATTCACACTGATTGACATTCACACTGATTGACATTCACACTGATTGACATTCACACTGATTGACATTCACACTGATTGACATTCACACTGATTGACATTCACACTGATTGACATTCACACTGACTGACATTCACACTGACTGACATTCACACTGATTGACATTCACACTGACTGGCCTCACACTAACTTGCCACACTGACTGACATTGACACTATTGGATTAACAATGTTTGACATTATTTGTCATTGACGACCGCCACTATCACTCGGTACAGCCACCCCCGTGTCGTCCGCACTCACCTCATCGAACACAGGCACACTGCCGCCCACCAACCCCGTGTTGCCACCCTGAGGCACCACAGCCAACCGCCTCTCATTGCAGTACTTCAGAACGTCCGCCACGTGGCTTGTTGTGGTTGGCCGCAGCAACAGCTTGCTATTCCCCTTGTACTTGCCCATCCAGTCCACGTTGGCTGCTGCCACGGCGTCAGGGTCCGTGATCACGCCACGTTCGCCTAGAATCCCCTTGAAATATTCCACGTCAGCATCTTCCAACGTGGCAAATTGCGGGTCTCTGGAGACTGCCACCGTGGCGTATCCTGCCCGTGCTGAGGCGCCAGACGGGAGGGACTCAGGACCGTGAGGCAGAAGCGCGCGCAACCCAACCCGTGTAGAAGGAAGTGCGGGGACGCTAGCTGTGGCTGAGGGGGTTTGGTGGAGCGGGAGGCCAGCGGACATTGCGCGGAGTAATTGCAGATTCGGCGGAGCAGGCGCGGAGGGTGATGGGGGTGGATGGAGCGCGGAGCTGGGCGAGGAACGGGGAAGAAGGCCAGCTTGGCGGAACAAGGCGGAGGTTGCGCGGATGGCGCGGCCACGCTGAGAGGAAGCCATGGTGCGCCGCACTGGTGCTGGCGATCTCCTGAAGTCACGAGACTAGGCGAACAGCAGTGACAGAAGCGGCTACTGAGAGCGATGCGACGCGATCAGACGAGCTCTAGAAGCAAACGCGCGACTTGCACGAGAAACTGGGTTGACGGAACACTAGTAACGGTGAAAGCACTTCCAGTAATGGTGGCTCGGCGGCGCTGTAATGACTGTGGCCAGTCGAAGGTGCGGCGGAAGAGTGAACGGTGTGGACGGTTAGACAGACTTAGCACGAGTAGTCTAATCGCACGCGAGCGCTACGTTAGAATGAAGTCTACGAACGTGGAGGCTTCTCGATGGGAAGGGTGGACAAGTGCCAGTGGAGCGAGCAGACAGGCTCTGGTCTGGTCTGGTCCTGAGCACGTCTAGAAAATCAAACATGCCAGTCTTGTAAAAGAGGCGTTCCTCAACTGACTGATGGTGGTTGGCTGGAACGACCATGGCTTCTACAAGGTGAACTTGAGCTCGCTCCAGCGCTGCACCACAATTGCGGTGAGCAATTCCCGAGGTGCTGGCGAGAGGCGCGCATTGGTGCTTCCTGCCCCTCGAGAACTGCGGCGACGAGTGCGGCCCATTCGCATGCTTTCCCACGCATCCCCGCTGGCATCGCACATGCATTCACAATTTTGCTAAATTGGGTGTGTTTCAACTTTATAGAGAGATGAAAGTGATTCACGCTAGTTTATGTACCCTTGTACCTTACCGCGCATTTAAATACCCCATCCTCGGTAATAGACGCAATTGCTGATGTGGTGCCACATGTGCCTCTGGATGAGGTCTCTCAAATTCTGTTCCTCGTCTCTTCTCCCGCTCGTGCAGATCGACCCCCACTGACGCTCTGACGCGTGGAACCGAAATGTCCCCCTTTCTGGACAACCATAGCCAGTCAGAGGTTACCGCATCAACCAATTGTTTCGTCGTTTCAAATGTGCTGGGGCAAAAGCAAACTCTACGCCGACGATTCGGGCGATCGCGAAAATTCAACGGCCGGATGTGTTCGGAGTTTCGTCCAAGCAGTGCGAAATTCCCTAGGGCTGCCTGACTGGCATCTAGCAGGGGGGTAAGGAAAACTGATCAACTGGTGGCACTTGGAAGAGTCCCTTCCACCTGCATCTCCGACCAGGCTGGTCTGGTCTAGAGCCTAGACTTGCCTCCATGGCTAACGATGATGTTCCGCAAAAGGCGGCGCCTTCGCAGCTAGTCTCTAAGAAGTCTCCCGCGCAGGAGCAGCAGAAGAAGATGAGTCCAGGGGAGGAGATGGAGAGCGAGTGGCAGCAGATAGTGGATTACTACGACCCGGCCAATGTGGAGAAGCGCGCGGAGGAGGCGAGGAAGAAGGAGCTGCAGGCTCTCCAATCCGCCATGGAGGCGAATCGCGAGCAGGAGCAGGTTAGAACTAACAGCCACACGGTGTTTTTGGAATGAGGACGGAACCGATCCTGGTTACAGGTCAGCGTGTAGCTGTTCTCGCGATTCAGGGGTTTAATCCGATTGGTGCTTAAGGCTTATTTTCGTAAGCGCACCGCAATGCGTTGAGTTGATGTTAGATGCGCAACTGTTCCAACGTGCTACAGTGGTCGTGTCAGATCCGATTCGGAACATAGGCAGTATCTAGCACGGGACATTGGTAGACTCAGAATTTAAAGTGGTGATTCGTCTAGGGTTTCTCCCGTTTGTATACCGAGCCTGAAAGATTCGTATAGCTGAGACTACATTGCTCTACGCGTGCAAGTAAGGTGGAACAGAAGTCCTTAACCTTGTGCCCAGTTACGTCAACTCAATCTACCTCCTTTTGTCATCCTTGCTCCTCGACCACAGTCCCTTAGCGTGCCTGGTGTGCTATTCTTGTGCCGCATAGATAATGTTTCCACGCAAGTCATGACCTCCGTCGTTCCCCTCTCTCACATCACGCGCCTGTACCATCCTCCGTCCGTCGCGCCGTAGATTCTGGAGGAGTTCTACGGCATCAAGCCGCGGCCGAAGCAGTCTCTTGAGGAGCTCGAGAAGGCGGCGGCGGAGGTGGCGGAGGAGGACGAGTGGAACTTCCCGCAGGACCCGGACAAGTGGACGGAGGCGGATCTCGGCGAGGAGTGGGCGGACGCGCCCGCCGACGCCAAGGTGCCGTTCTACGACCCGCTACTCGGGCTCTCCGCGCTCGACGCCGCCGATGATGACGCGGACGCCGACGACGGCCGCCGCAGGTGGGAATACTCACTGAAAATCCTGCTCTCCACATCCGCAAATTCCAATACCGCTCACACATAACCCAATGCTGGTCACACGCAACCTGGATGCTGTATCTCATCGCATTGCACGCCGCTTGCGCTGCGCATTTCCCTTGTCCTTTCCCCACCACGCGCTGCCTCCCGCCTACTCCCCTCCTCCGCCCTCCCCCTACTCAGGCGCAAGGCTCCGCGCAAGCAGCAGCGCGCGAAGCTGCCGCATTCGGAGGACCGGTATGTGCCGTACCGGCAGGGGCTGCCGCCGGTGAACGAGATGGACGACGGCAGCTCGGGCGCGCTCAAGGCTCTGGAGGAGCTCGAGATGGAGGAAGAGTTCCTGCAGTGGGCCTCCTACGTCTTCCGCGACGGCGCCACGTGAGTCTTGCCTCCCCGCATGTCACGCGAAGCAGGGCGGATGGGATGGGTGGCGGATGTGCGTAGGAACTGGTGGGATGGGGCGACTGGTGGACCCGAGTAAATGCCATGGTAGTCTTGTTCCCAGTTTTGAGCGTAGTATGATGGAAGCACCGCTTTGCAAATTTGGCTGTTTCTCCCTCTAATCCGTCGTGTCCGTGTCCAACCACCCATCACCGTTCCCATCCATACAGCTACTATGTTCAAGCTCCCATTCTTTCCATCACCCCTCCCCCTACCCCTTTGTTTTCCCCTCTCCCCCTCGCGTTCTACCTCCCCCCCGCCATCCCCGCTGCTGGCTGTGGGTGTCCTGATGGCAGGTACGAGGGCACGGTGTGGAACGACATGGCGCAAGGCAAGGGAGTCTACACCACGCCGCTCGAGCTCTGCAAGTGAGTTTCGTGCACCCTGTCAACGACGAATACAACAACCCACACCACATCAACAGTAAACAGCTTCTCGAATCCTCTCCCCCTCTTCACGCGCACGCTCTCTCCTCCGTGTCCTCCCACTCTCCTGCCTTACTTCCCAACTCCTTCCCGTCTGTCTACCGCTGCGTGTGCACATCTAACTGTGCGTGCGTGCGTGAGAGTGCGTGCATGTGAGGTGGGAGCAGGTACGAGGGCGAGTGGGTGCAGAACATGATGCAGGGCCATGGCGTCGTCTCCGTCGACGTCCCTGCGCGCCTCCCGCCGCCAGACTCCGAGTGAGCCTCCTCGCAACCCCATGCGCTCTTCTTTCCCCGCCGTGCCGCTTTTCCCCTCCTTCCTGCCCTCTTGGTTCTTGTTAAACCCTCAACCCCTACACCCATCATTGTCGCCCTTCCCCCTGCGCCTCCCCTCTCACCATTCGCCTCCCCTCCCCTATGTCGACCCTCCCCCCCTGCGTCTCCCCCTCCCCTGTCCCCGTCCGCGCGCGTGCTGTGCGCGCGACAGGGCATGGCGGAAGCTGAAGGCGGAGGGGAAGGTGTTTGAGGACGAGGAGATGAGCGCGGAGGACAGGGAGTGGCTGCGCATGGAGCTCGAGGACCTCTCCACCCAGGAGGCGGACGCCAAGAAGGCGGGTGCGGGCGGGGAGGGCGCGGGGGCGGTGGAGGACCCCACGGACGCCGTGCCCTTTGAGGACCACCCCGGCTGGCTCAAGGTCTTCGGCCGCAAGCCGTGAGTGCCCTGCTCTCTGCGCATTGAGCGTCGGTGCTCTGCTCTGTGTAGGTTGCACGCGGATTCACAGGAAACGGGAATGGATGAAACGGAGTCAGGAGGGGTCTGTGCGTGACGCGTTGCCTTCTGCCTTCCCGCTCTTCTCGTGGTTCACTTGTGCGTGTGTGCGCGCAGGGAGAAGGGGCACTACGAGTACGCGGGGCAGATGAAGCAGAACAAGTTCCATGGCTGCGGTGTCTTCACCCTCAATGGCAAAATGCACTTCGTGAGTCAGTGATCATCGCAGTAGCATCTCAATACCACCATCTTGCAAGCCAGTGCGCCGTGTCTGTGTCCTCTAGCTATGCCCATCGTGCTGCATTCCATGCCATTCCATTCCATCCCAATGCCACCACCCCATGCCCCCCCTTCCCATGCCATGCCGTGTTACCGGCAGGGCAAGTTCCGCTTCGGCGAGTTTCTGCGCAACAAGGACGAGTGCGATGCTCACACCTCCGGGGTGAGTGCACCCAGGGGTGCAGCGCTGGGGGGTTCGCAGGATTGTGAGCTGTCACTATAGAGTGTGCAGGCATGGGTGTCACATGGGGGAAGGGGGACGGGTGAGGGGATAAGAGGATGGACAGGGCAGAGAGAGTTGCGGTGTGGGCAGCTCCTGTCAACTTTGCTGCTGTTTGCATGCCTTGCCATTGCGCTTCATCTCCTGGCTCGCTCGTACAGAGATATGCCTACCCTCTCCCTCGCCACCTGTTAACACTGCCATCCTTCCCCTCTCCCCCTGCCCTCCCCGGGCAGTTCCATGCGGGCATGGCGCGGGTGGCAGCAGCCAAGGCGCGCATGTTCGTGAACAAGCCCGATGGCAGTAAGTCCCTTCCACCCCTCCCCCCTGCTTGCCGCTCCTCGCGCCCGCCCTGCTCCATCCATGCTGTCCGCCTTTTCCTGCCCCTGCACGGTCTACCGTCCCCACTTACAATGAATGCTCGCCTTTTTATGCGAGCTCAGCAGGGCCTCCCCACCATTCAACCGCGCCCCGCTGCTGTGATGCTGCCTCTCGCCCCTCCATCTCCCATGACCCCCATCACCTCAACCCCAAACTCGTTTACCACTCTCCCATCCCATCTTCCCCCCCACGCGTGCGAGTGCAGTGGTGCGCGAGGTGAAGGGGCCATACAAC